AAAAAAAAAAAAAAGAAAACAATACACATGGATAAATGTATTTTTAAGATGTTTCTTTCTTGAAATTTCTGACATTAACTGAAAGCTCCTGACCTGTTGTCATTCCTCTTTAGACTCTTACAAGTGGTAGTCTGCTCATCATTCCATTCCCTTCATTGTAAAGGACTAATAGATGGCAGCTTTTCCTGTTACCTTACTGGTTTGGCAACTGATGCACCTTTATTTTCTACTCTGAATTCTTGTCCACACAGATTTAGAGAAATGTTTGTGTCTTCTCTGGATTTTATGTGTATTATGCTCCTATTTTTGATGAAAATTCCAGTGAAATTGTGCATCTGCTGTATAATATTCGTATACAAAGACAGTAAGTACAATGCTTTCATCCAAGATTACCATATGTTCAGAAATACCAAATATCCATGGAATATCTGCATCCAGCTGTCAGGCATATGCACAATAGATCTGGTACTTTAAAAAAAACGTGGAAACATACTCAGTGTGTCCATGCTAAGCATTCAGGAATTTCTGGATTGATACACTTAGTTCTTGACCTGAAGGAGAGAGTCCCTGTACCCTCTAGTACCCTTATTAGAGACCGAAATAACTTTATGCCTCCATTATTAGTATTAAAGACAATAAACCATGCTTTTTAAATACCAGAAACCCGTTTGAAACTCCCATGAAGATCAGACTACATTGAATGAAACCCSTTTGAAATTCCCATGAAGATCAGASTACAYTGAATGTTTCTATGAACTYTGAGAAAAAAGTAATGTTTTTCTTGCCAGAAGTTTCTGAGTATATTTATATATTYRGCTCATCYCTTTGATACCACTRMRTGGGGAGARCTGTAAAATCAGTCTTTGCTTATATTAGGATTATAATATATGTCTAGGTTTTGGACAATAACTTTTTACTGGGAACGTAGAGTAATAGTGAATATAGCTAAGATCCTTTGAAGGATAATTAAGATCATAATCAGTAATCTAATAATTAAGATCCCACCTAGAAGGAAAGGTAGGGTAGGTGAATATTAAAAAAAATAATAAATGCTAGCAGGTAAAGCAGCATATATCATTAATAAAAATGAYGTAGTAGCTGCCTGGTAAAACAAAGAGAAAATTGAACCAGAGGGACAAGAATGGAATTTAAGAGRGTGGAAAAAAGTAAAGAACACAGAYCATTTAATAACATGCATAGCTGATAAACCATGTAATCAAATACTGAAATCATTAATTCTTGATATTTAGATACTATCTCCTTATACAGAATTCTGGTCTTGTCTCTGGCAAGAGTAAGGGCACACTGAGATTTTTACAGAAAATCAAGTTGTTCTTAAATTGAAATTTAGCTGAACTAAACACACTGCAGTGATCTGGTATTGCAAGCTAAGCCCTGCTACAATTGGGAGAAAGGTCTCACAGTGTTGGCTGTTTCAAGCAATGCTTCTTATTTCAAAATTGTTAAGTTAAGGGAATTATTCTCTTCTGAATTATTTTGTTGTTTGCTTTGTTTCATTGTGGGATAAAATATGGGARATGCAAAGCACAAATAAATGTGCACTTCTGTGTTGATATATGCARTCTGGTTTACCCTTGAGGCTTAACTGTGGCTCTTAGGGGCCTGAGAAAGATTTAGGGATGGAATGTATCCAAGTATCTGAAAAACATTTCTTGAAGGCCCTTCAACTTTGAATTGTTTGCTGGATGCTGGGAGGAAGARCACAGAGGAGGTATTTCTTCATGAACACAAACATACAATTTCTTCCCTTAGTAGAAGAAATTTTGCACAGCAAATGTGAGGATGCGAAGGCTTTCCTTTGCAATCAGATTCCTTTGGGCATTGAAAACACAGCTGGCTGCTCCAGTTCTGCTTTACAGCTCACTTCTGTCAAAGTTATTGCTATCTTTGTGTTTGTACAATGGAAGGAGGAAAAGACAGTGCTTTTCTGTATCAGCTCAACAGTTTCAGCACAGCTGTAATTTGACTGATTAGTCTGTTTATAGTTGTACRATCAGACTAGTGAGGTGCTGGTCCTTGACTTCAGTAACTTAAGCAATATGCTTCATTTTATTCCTGTTGCTTTCTATTAGATACTTACATTGGAGCAACAAGGAATATCTGTGGAATTGGAGCTGCAGAGCAGAGGTAAAATGAAGAAAGAATTCCTACTTATTGCTGGTAGTTTCAAGAGAAAAAACTATTAACAGTATCAGTTTAAGTATTGCGAGTACTAGTACTACATTCATTTGCAGTGAATAATATGTGAATAAATGTAGCAAGGATTAAATAAATATAATATTAAAATCATTAWTTCARTTATAWTGACAGATACAAACCTTTTCTTTTGCAGTTCAGAGTTGGCACGGGAAACACATACATGTGGCACAAAGAGGAGTCAAATTCTGGTTTGGCAGGTTCAGGCTTCTCCCGTTTTATGTTTCTGGGGTCCTGCCTGTCCTCTTCAYTACATAGCTGATCAGCTTTTATCTGCTTTAGCTTTTGATTTTTCAGTTCTATTGGGTGCACACATTTGGCATAATTTCCCAAATTCCTGTTTGTTGGAACCTGTAGCATTGTAACAAGAGTTTCTAGTTCACAGTTGCAATGCCAGGGATTATCATAAAGACGTAGGTAGTTTAGACTGGGTGTATAAATAAAAATCTCCTCAGATAAAACCCTAATTTGGTTATGCTGAAGTAAGAGTGTGGTAAGTTTATCCAAACCATAAAAAGCCTCGCTCTCAATTTTTGATATGTCATTCTGTTGTAAATCCAGACTTTTCAGTACTTTATACTTGGAAAACATATTATTCTTCAATTTACGAATCCTGTTTCTTGCTAGCAGCATGTGTTTTATATCCTCTGGCCAATCAGGTGCCAGAAAACCCAATTTTCTTTCCTGGCAATCTAGGTATTTCTCATGAAGGTAAGTGTAAATATCACATGTTGGGCCTCGGGCATTGCGCTTAACAGTGCCAGATGCTCTCCTTAAAATGTTTTCCCTTTCATTGTTTCTCAAACTCCTATTCCTTGTCCTCCTACAGTCAGATGCATTACAAAGAAGAATTAGTAATATAATAGTAACTACTWGCATCCTGTCATTCAGCTGGCCCCAGTTATTTTCTGTGACAGCTGGAACAGTTGAWATTTTTGGATAGTCTGAATCAGTGTTGTACAGATCTGAGGARGCACAGCTGGGGTATGTGGGATTCCTGTGTTGGAAGAAAAGTAAAACATTAGAACAGATGAAATGGGCATTTTCATGGAGGCTTTTACATAATATGCAGTCAAGTACTCAATCCCGGTGCTACTTGGAGCTTCACAAATACTTTGAAGATTTAATGTCCTATCTCTTTTTGTGTATTTGTTAGTTTTTACTTACTCTAGTCTACTGTTTTTCATTTTGATTAAACATGGGAAGCTACCTGGACCAATTTCTTACTGATCTTTGTTAGGAGATTGTCATGTGTTCAGGAAAGCAGCATAAGGCTGGACCTTTTTGCATTTAAGTTAATCTTGGAAGCYGAGCTCAAACGAGGAGTTTGAAGCTGTTCTCTTCTGGCTTCCTGAATGTTGAACAACTGGAACACATACAAAGCCAGAGCAGGGAAAGCCATCCAGTGCCCATCAAACTCCCAGTTTTATGGGAGTTTTTTTAGTTTGTGCAYGAGGGTGGGCTTGTTTTCAAGTCATTCTGTCAGGACTGTTTGCACCAATTTGGGGGGAATTTGTGCTGTCATGTCAGTAATCTGCTGCCACCATAGGCTCAGGGTATTGGTCCAGATGGATTGAACCTGTATGAGGAACCCTTACATTTATGTCATACACTGACAATTTGAACTGTTCACTTTTAATATGATCATTTTTTGGTTTGRTTGGGKKTTTTTTGCTTTTGTTTGGGTTTGGAGTATGTAATTTGATTTTGGGGTTTTTTTTAAGTGAATTAAGAAATTTGCAAGGCTTAAAARTCTGAGAATACCAAGTATTAAATACAAGAACTACAAACTTTTTCTATTAATTCTAATTTATACCAAGAAGAAAGATCTTTTCAAGTGCTTTGGTTATTTGGGTCACAAGTCTTCCTGATAAAAAAAATAAGGACTTGTGTTCTTAAGTACTTTGAAAATGGAGCTTAGTAGGGTTCAGAGATAATCAGTGAAGTTCTCATTGGTTTTCTACRGTACCAGGGCAAAATGATACATTCAATCTCAATTAATTTTGATAAACAGGTTTCAAAACTTCACCAGTCTGGGAGAAGGGTTTTGTTGTTATTTTGTTGTACAAGCTTGGAGTTGTCAACAAAAATACATTTTAATACTGGATTGTTTACAGCTTCCTTTATTCCTTCACTAGTCCACATGGGGTCTAAATATGTCTCACTAAATTTCTGGATATTTTTCAGAGCTTTAATTTGAAAGGTGTCTGAGAATGCAATCACCATTATGTATTTGTCAATTTTTTTCTCAGTTTAACATTTTTAGTTTTATCTTGCTTTCCATTRATTTTCTTTAACATTTTTTCACTGCTTTTCCTTGATGGAAAAACAATGTTTGACTTTGCTTTAATTAATAATTTCTTAGAAAAAAGTTATATGTAATTTTTGCTAATAATAAAACCAATCTAAAATTAGCATTAATATTTTGTTCASAAATCAGGTTTATGAAATCAATTTATAGGCTATTTCCAGTTTAATATAAAACAATAATTTGGTGTCATTTGTAGTTACTTTGGAGTGGAGTGTACATCCTATGTTCTAGCCTAGAAAAACACCAATATTTACATGCAAGTTTTTWAAAATTACCATAGGTAAAATACACTTCAAGAACTTCAAACAAAAATGGTTTAGGATAGGCAAGTTAGAGAGGCAAGGGCTGCTTTTCTCCTCTTATCAATAGATCTAGTGATTTTATCATAGAAAACTATCAAATTAGTGAGGAATGCTTTGCTGCTGATAGACTCATGCTGACTATTCACTGTCACTTTTGCATCCTTCATGTGCTTGAACAGGGCTCTAAGGAGGATTTGCTACATATCTTTCCCAGGGACTCCGCTGAAGCTGACTGGCCTGTAGTTTCTTGCATCTTCTTCCATTTTGTGAAAATGGATGTGACATTTCCTATCTTCCAGTCATTGAGAATCTCCTCAGATTGTCATGACCTTTGAAAAATGAGTGAGGCTTCTCAATGACAAGAGACAGCTTTCTTCCTCTTGGATGCACCCTGTCTCATCCCATTTCCTCAGGTGCTCCCTGACATTAACTTCTTCTATGATGGGTATTACCTCACTCTCACAGACTCTRCTCACAGGCTCCAGTGAGGCACAAGGGAAGCCTTCAGACAAGACTTAGCTGTAAAAACTGAGGCAAAAAAGTAATTGAGTAGCTTGTCCTCAAAGATTAACCAGTTCTCCTGGGCCCCTTTGCCCTCCAGGGCTGTCCACCATGAGATTCTGTTAAACAGATCTCTAAACTARCCAAAATCTGCTAACAAGTTCAGGTTTTCTTCTTCTACAGTTTGTCCAATTTTCTTCTGTCTGGATTTTGAATTTCTCATTTTCACAGCTGCAGTAATCAAAGCTGCTCTAGTTCTTCATATTCCTTGACCTGTTGAAGAAAACATTCTCTAGACCACTTGTCAGTCAGCTGGAGCAAGAAATTGTSTTCAACATACTCTGGAAGTCTCCTGAATTGTTCATGCCCAGATGTATTTTCTGGCAGCAGATATGAGTGCTAAAGTCTCTCATGAGTAACCAGGATAAGGCTTCTTTCAGCTGTCCAAAGGTTTCATCCACCATCTCTTCTCGATCAAGCAGACCAAGCAGCAGATACCTGCCACAATGTAATGCTCCTAGGTCTAGCCTCTAATCATTACAAATCAGCTCTTGACTGATTTGTCCCCCATTCCAAAGCAAAGCTCCATGTGTTCASGCATGACTTGGCCTGGAGTGCAGCCCATCTGCCCCTTCCTGGGCTGTCATTCCTAAGTATTCTGGAACCTTTCATTGCACCCCTTCAGTTGCATGTGCTATCCCTTTACATCTCTGGAGTCCCAGTGAAATCACAGCTCTGSACCTGTGCTTGGACTTTGGWCCCTGCTGGTTGATTCCCAAGCTAYAAGTGTTTGTGTTCAGACACTTGAGATAGACCCCTTTGTGCTGCTTTMATRTGGAAGGTTWCAGATATTTTCYTCATCATTATCCCCCTCCACTATTCCCCCCAGCTTTCTTACCACTCCYTGTACCTTTTTTTCAAGTTATGGYTGTCTTCTAACTAAATACATACCTWTTTTTAYGGATATCTCCTCTCTCAAATCCTTTGTTGCAGGAATATATTTCAAAAGCACRAACTTTCCTTTTTAGAGTTGGTTGGTATTGGATTTCCAGCTCTCTGGATGGTCCTTTTGCCTGATAACTGAAATAGTGARAAGGTGACCACAACATGGAAGAAGATACAGGCTCAACTATTACATTTTCATATACAAATGCTGAAAATTTGCCTTTGTGTTATATTGACATTTATTGTGAAGCAATCTTCATACTAGGAGACTTGTTCCCATTACATAAATTGAACAATATGGGTAGTATCTCTTCTGCTGGTCAATAAAATATGGAAACCTTGTAATTACTCAAGTTTAATGTTCCACCTAGAGGGAAGAACTGAACAGGAAGCATTTTGTAAATTATATTAAATTGTATTACTGGTTAAAAAAAATGTGGCAGAGTTCGTGGACAAAATTCGCCAGTGCTTTTAGACACCAGGGCTGTCTAACAGTAATCTTGGTTTAGAAAAATCTGTAAATGTGCTTCAATCATGTGAAAAATCCCTTGTGCTCTGTAGGAATGTATAGTGTGTGTATCCTTCAAAATGATAGAATGACCMTACTTAAAGTGAGTAAAAGTAGCATYRCGTGTCTTGGTATTCTGCTTYGAKGTTTCCAAAGAAAATGACTGAGATRTACAAAAGTTACTGTGATGACTTAAAGATACTTGTTCATAGTTTTCCCCTTGTTACATACAAATAAAATTTTCATATGCTTCTGGATCATTTTATTATTCAGGATGAATCAATAGGATATATCAGAAGGCTGAAGAGCTCTTCACTATTTAAATCCATTTATAGAGATAGTAATAACGGAGCTCTACGACTATTGACAAGGTAAAATTAAACAGAAATATGGAAGTGCATTTGTTTTAATCTTTTGGGAAATTTAGAAACATATGTTGTAGGAATACTCTTTTTTGAGTGATTTGCAGGATTCTGTCTGCTATACAAAATGAAATAAATGTCTCATATATTTCACTTAGCAGTTATTTTATCTTTTTAGTATATWTAAAAATATAAGCCTAGATACCCCTCTGTATTGCACAGAGTTTTACAGAAACTCCTAAAAGAAAATGCTATCCAAAAAATTCTTATGCATGTCCAGATCTTCATGATGACGCAAGAAGTTTGCAAGTTAGATATGTTCYTAGAAATATATTTTTGAAATAGGTGATTGTGGATAGGTGCATTGTGTGAGCCAAGGCCTTGTGTGACAACTGCAAAAGAAAGAAAGAGTTATTCCAAACTGTTATTTGGAAGATCAGTGGGCTGAAGGCAGAGAATTTGTTACCTTACAAAAGCCKGCCCTTCCTGTTTCAGAGGTATCTCTAGAGACTCATATTCTGCCTGGCAGGTAGAATTGCTGGATTACAAGCTGCCTTGGAGGAAAAAGGGTGTGCTGTTCACAACAGAAAGCAGCACAAGGATGTATATGGAKTTGAAGAATACCTGTACATTGTTTCCCTTTCCTATGAGGAAAACAAATGTCTTTCAACAACATCCCCACAAAGCTTAGAAACACGGGGTTTTTTTGGCATTTGCACAATACATTTTGACTTTTGTTTTTCTTAGTCTGAAATGCCTTATCCTCAAATAACTAGCATTTGTTTTGGCAAAGTTTTGCATTTAGTGTCTCCAATCCTACCACTCATCTCCTCATCAATATAATTTTCATTGTAATCTGTGTTTTCTCCATGTTGGTTGATATTTTGTCTTTTTAGATTTCCATATATTTATGCTGAAGTTTGGAAAATCAGTTTTGMTGTGTGAATAGCAAATAGCAAAGAAAAATTCTCCACTGACAAAATACCTTTTGCAGTTATCTTCTACCTTGTTAATATGAAATTTTCCCAGTCATACATGATGCTTTTGATTTAAAACCGTAAGATTACAAAAAATTGTTGGATAAGAAGCAAAGCTCRTTGTTTCTGAGATTATGGGGATGTACAAAAAGTTGCTGTCCTGTGAAGAATTTGATAGCAGACAGATTTTATGGACAGAATTAGCTCAGCACAGGTCCTGCCTACTGTGGTAACTAACACGAAGTGCTTAGAGGTGGCAGTATTGCATTTCCTAATGCTGCACGGGAAGTTTGCTGTGGAGTACCAGACATCCTTTATTGGGACAAGGAGCTAGTGAAGTGTTGGGGTAATTTTTTATTCTCTCATACCATTCCATGCAAGCATTTCAACCTCCATATTGCACAATAGAGATAATCAGCTGCAATTTCCCTCTGAAAACTTCTGTTGCCTATGGTAGACATGAACACTGTCCATCAGGAATAAATGTCAGAAGGTGAATTTGTCAGACTGCTTTAAAACAGCAATCCTGAGACTGCAAATGACAAAATTAATTGAAAAACCAGTATGATAGAATTCCTGCAGAATTCAGCTGTAACACAAAACAAGGATTTTTAGTAGTCTGTATACTCCTTAAGTTTTAAGGAAGATACCACTTTAAAAATGGAAAAAGAAGGCATGTGTTAATATTCCCAGATCATAAAAAAATTGGTCATATGACCTATAAAGGRAATCAGCATCTATTCAAAAGTATTGTAAGGTTTTGATCACAGTCTTCAAAATGCAGTAAGAAAGGCTTACCTGTGTTTTAAATTGTGCAGCCTTGCAGCAACATATAAATKAAAAAGACTCAGAGCTACCAGAGTMGCTGGTGTAAACAGAGTGTACTCTGGTTTATACCAGTGTATAAACCCTAGTCTCTTAATTTATTTTCTATTTTATCAGATATGTCTGGAAGTATAATTCTCCAAGTTTGATTTTTCCCACTCCTTTCTGTGGGATATCACACTGAAATGCAAAAAGGTTCAGGTTTCTATAAAGAAAGGTACTTTTTATTTTTGTACTTAATATGAATTAAATATTTCCATTTTTTAAAAAAAAAGACACCAGAAACAACACATGCCTTTATTTTCTAATATCTGGTTCTAATGCACATTGTCCATATTGTAGGTTTTTTTTTTTTCAGAAAATCTAATTTCATATTTAATTTCTTTTTTTTTTTCTGATTTTTTTTTTACAAAAAAGCATTCTTTTTGCATTTCCTATGTCTTTGTTTTCAGTTCAAGTCAGCATATTTCCCCMCTCTATACTGAAAGTACAAAGTCAGTTCCAAAAGTCAGTATGCCACTCCTTAAGCAGTCAGCTCCTCAGTGGGWGTTTCCATCTTCTTCAAAATGCCTAATTTTGCTGACTTGCAGAACCACATGACTACAACTAAATGTCTACCAGAGCAGAAGGTCCTAATTCTAGGTTTTGATTTTCTGTATGCTTTCATTTGTGGTGCTTGTGGTAACTGTTATTTATTCCAGTTARAAGTACAGTTCAGCAAATGAATAGTTTTCAGTATGATATAAACCTGCAGATGGAAATTTAGTAWTTTCAGAGTATAGATTCTTGCTTTTTACAGAGTGCTGTTGATTAAYATTTTCCACTTACACAGTTTGCTTTCTTTTAACTGATGTTAAGTATAAAGAAATGTTTTCCAAAAGAACTGATCAAAACCTAAAATTGCATGACTGATTTTTGGATAATTCCCTTTTGCAACACTTTCAGTTTTTCAGATTAAAAGTACTCTTCTAAATAAGTATATTACTTGAGAGGCTTTAACTGCACATTTCTGCTTTTAATGTCTTTTGATAGAGATCTGGTTTTCATTTCCAGCAGGGACTGCTTGTAAAATCAATGGGGAAGGCAGTCCAGCAAACTTACACTGAAAAGTCATACTAGCAAAGTATGCACAAAAAGTTCCAATTAATTAAAAAAGTATGCTTTTGCAGTTACTTGAGATAACTTTACAATGTTGCTGGTTTCACATGGTGAAATATCTTGCTTGATAGTGCTATTCCCCAGTAATTTGCAATACAAGAAACAGAGGAAGAAGTGCAGCAGAAGAATTGGACTTTCAAACTTCAGCAAGTAGATAATTCTATTTCATATTGAAYATATTTTCTTTACAGTAATTTTCATAAAACTTTAACTATGGCATTTTATGTTCTTTTGATTCTGCATCATGCTCTTGTAACAAATTGCTCTCTATTGTTTTCTGTGGTTTYTTTGCAAAGCTTCCCCAGTTTACAATAAATGAGTTTAGCTCACTGCAGAAAATTCACAGACAAAGTTTTACCATACCTGGACTCTGGAAAAAGCTGTCACATCTGTTTGGAAATTCCAGGTTGSATTCAGGTTTGTAGCTCACGTCTTTCTTTCATAATGTGAAGCAGAGGATCCTTCATATGACTGGCAGCATCCTGCATTCATGGTATACTGAAGTTGAGCAAGCTCTGCAGCAGCCTTCCTGGGTTTTGAATTACAKGACTACAGCTGTTTAAGTTTTACTCAGGAATAATAGCACTATAGGTTTGGATTGCTTCCAACAAACTGTCAGATCTATAAACAGCTAGTACTTACTGCATAATGAGAACAAGGCTTGCTTTTTGTAGCCATAAATAGACTAATTGTGTGTCATGATTAGTTGGGGGTTTGTATCTTGAGCTTTAAAAATGCAGTTTTTACTAAGATATCAAAAAACTAAAAGCCACTCTGTGCTGGAAAAAAAAAAACCCAGCCAAATTTACAGTTGATTTCCCAAGAAGGAATTTAATTAAAAAGTGAACTTTTGATACTGATTTACATTGGTTTAACATACAAGTTGAAGTGATATTTATAGTTGATTCTAAAAATAGTTATGCTTTGGATTATTTTAGTATCCTATTAAATTTCTAAAGAAAACAAAGGTTTTAGAATTCAGTACTATCTTAGAAACTTTCAAATATATACTGTGTCTTGAAACATACTCCAAAAGCAATATGAAATGCCAAATTGTAAGACAATGAAAGTCTCCTAATGTTTCAATACACTCACACATACATTTCTTTATATACTCAGAGGATTCTCCGTATAACTAAATACCTGTGAAATGATAAAGAGATGGGATCTGAGGAATATAAAAAGTTAACTTTCCATCTAACAAAACCTTTTCAGAACAAARGATGAGGCAGATGGGGCAACAGTCTTGTTCTGATTGCTCTTTACTGAATGTCTTTACTGAATGTTTCTTGTTCAAGAGAATCATGCTGAGATTKTTGTGCAGTGACAGTGTGAAATCTGAAATGAGGGCTGAGGTCAGAGGAAAGTTAAGAACTACCTACCTCTGAGTAACTTTTTCAAAATGCCAGTAACTGGTTCTGCTTTCCCATTCTTGCTTGTTTAGGAGTGTCATCATGAGCCATAGGGATCTGCCTCTCGAAAGCGTGATCCAATAATACTCAGGGAAAAGTAATCATCGTCAATCTGGTAAAACCACAATCCTCCCCTTTCAGAGGACAGTGGGTTTGCTTGCCAGTGCACTTGAAAGGAGTTCCCCAGCTTCCTCCATTTTGGGATTCTGGAACAGTGCTTAATGATTATGACCAAGTACTTAAGTGAAMAGTTAAAACCAAAAAAATCATCAAATTGCATCACAGTTGGAGAGAACATTTTAGAAAGTTTTTTTCCCCCTCACTGAATGAACTAAACCAAAGGGAACTTTTGTAAGGCTAACATTTCAGAATTAGTTTGAAAAATGTTGAGAGGCTATAGTATAAACACTGAAATTATGCTTAAAATGTTCTGCAGAACGTGTATTTTTCCTGTTTTTTCATGTTTCTTAGTTTTTTCTTCCATTTTAAAATTACAGTTCTTTTTATATGAAAGAATTTTATTTTGTTCTATTGCAATTATTTCTGCAGGATTCGAACCTTTATTTAGAAAGCCCATCTGTGAAATGGGTGATTGTGTTAAGGATTGTGTGAGTGGTAACCTCAGGACCAAGGCACTTGATTGCCTTGTTAAAACACAGGCACAAAACTGGSAGTTAACCAGACATTTTCTAGCCCATTGTCATAAAAAAAGGCTTTGTTTTCTTTGACTGCTATGTTCATTCATACATGGTAGTCATACTGGATAAATGGCAGGCATAGGTGTTTTTGCATAAAGTYGTGGCAATTAAGATTTTATCCTTATGGCACAGGCAATAAATATTTTCATTAATGGGTTTCAACATATTTTCATAAAAATACAGAGATTCTCTTGTGTCTTGCTCAAAAGGTACCCTTTCACACCATTCACATTCTCAGAGCCCCACCTAGAAAGGGTAAGATCTCTGTCCTGCTTCTGAAGCTGAACATATAGGTGGAAAATTTGCTGCTGTTAAAGACCTAAATGTATGAAGCAATTGCATGTCAGGCCCAAAATGTGTTACAGCACAYCTGTCACTTGCTGGGGGTTACAACAGCTGGATAAGAGAACACAAGCCACGGGGAAAAGTAAATTTGTCCCTTTCATTTCTTGACATTTGGTTTGTGGGGATGTCAGAGAAGTCTGCATGTAGACTTCACCAGTTTTTGCCATCTGTGTTCCCTCTGCTCTGGCTTTGTTGGGAGAATTCTCATTTTGGCAAATTCTGGCTTCTTCAGACATATCAAGCAACAAAAAATGGGCCATCACTTGGGGAGCAAATCTGACCTATGCTTTTTAGTTATTGAAGAAGAGGTTGATTGTTTACATTTCCCGAGTACAAACTTGTGTAACTGAAGAATACTATAAGTTACACATGCTCTGTTATTTTTAGAAAAATGCTAATTCAGGAGTAAGTTAACGTAAGCTTTTTTTTTTTTTTCTTTCTTTTTTTTTTTGACAGTGGAAAATTAAAATAAAAATAACATGTGGAGTCAAGCCATCAATGTCGTGTGCCAAACATCTGAAAGGATGTCACAATTCATTTCGTGATTCTTGACAAAGACAGGATACAAAAARAAGATAGTCCCATGTGCCCCAGAGAGTACTTCCTCTATTCTGAATGTTGATTTTCAAATTTCTACTCTCACAGTGTATTGCCAATACTGGAATCACAGAAGAGTGTTTCTTCAAAATCCCTTCTGTGCTGCAGACGGCATTTTGCCTTGTAGGGTGGATACTGGGAGATCTGGGAGAAAGAATTTTAAAGTAGTATATGTGTAGCAAAAAAGCCAAAACATGAATAAAAACTCTGTGTATTTCCATTCTTTGTAATTAAAAAACTATTAAAAGATTAAATTAAATGAACTTTGATATTCTTACAAGCATTTCATCATTTCACTGCAATTATTTTCTAAATCTATGGGGACAGATGTCTAGCTGTGTTTGCTCCATGTTTGTTTTGATATACTTTCAGATCATACTACACTATTATACAATCAAGAACAAAACCTAGTTCCATCATTTGCATATTAGATTGAAAACTCCTGCAGACAAGGAATTATATTTTACTTGTTTACCTTATTTTATTTGCATTTATAACTTATTTTTGCATTAACTTCTGATCTGTATATGCAAGGAAAAGAAGAYATTTATAGAATGATTTTATTGAATTTCATATTCTGTCCTGAGAACCAGCATGCTTCTTTCCCCAGGACATTTTATCTCCTGGTGATTGCTCCCAATAGAAAAGAGGCTCGATTGCCTTTGCCATAGTGGCCCTACACTGCCCCTGATCATTTTGCAAACATTTGGGGTGAGCAAATCCAACCTACCCATGCTGATRGTGAGGTGTGCAGTACTATCTGTAGATCTTCATTGATGTGATACCAACATCAACCCCATTCCCAAAGTCTCTGTGTCCTTTTGTCCAACAGACATGTCTCAGTTGGTGAGAGCCTGGAGTGCACCGACAGGCTCTACCTGTGTGTGGTTACAAAATGGTTCTTTCTGTTTAATCCTTCTCTGCTGCTTCCCCTGCAGCCTCACAAGATTCTGCTCCTTTGCTTTCTTCATCTGTTTCTTAGACTACTGCTGYTCCTAGAGGAGCCTGATCCAGGGTTACACGGCTGCACCATATCAGWCTCCCCTTGAATGCTGTCAGAGGGATGGGACTTGATGGGATTTTATATCACCATACATTACCAGCAAAATATTTCCTCTATTTATTTTGAGGGTAGGGTTTTCATTCTGTCATTTTGCAGSCTGTTGTTACAAATATGCTGTACTTGTCCTGAACTTAAACCACACCAGTTTATTTACATCCACAGTGCTAAAAGTGCCAGTGTGTGTCGTGAGCCACACCATATTCTGTCTGTCTGTCTGTCTGTTTGAGATCTGCACAAACACTTTAAGAATAGATTTGACAGAGCTGAAGCCAGTTCTCTAGCGCTGGCATCCCTCTACATAAGGGAAAATGTGCAAAGAGTGCCACAGCCCCTAAGAAGGAGAGAAAAGACATTTAAGATCAAAAWATTTAAAACAATTGAGAAAGAATYTCTTTAAAAGGCCACTTCAGCCTGAAAATAAAGAGCAAGCCAACCTGGGCATAAGTTAAAAGGTGGGGCATTATGCCAGAAAAGAAAAGACAGTCTGCCTTGATTATAACTTAAAGTCAGTTACTCCATGAAAAAAAAAAAAAAAAATCTCACGTGCAAAAAGAAACCAGACATTAAAACTGCGGAAAGAAGAGCCAGAAACCCAAGGTGTGAAAGTAAAGCAGGCTTGATTCTAGTTTCCACTGGTAAGTAGCAGTGGGGAGCAGTTGGGTGTGCTAAAAATGCTGGAGGCTGGAAGGGCAAGGACGGGGAGCATCTCATGGAGCATTGTTACCACCCTGAGGTGTGATGGGTCATCAGCTGCTGCTCTGTATCTGTGACTTGCTCTTCTGTGACCATCTCCTGTCTGCTGATAGTGTCCACTGTCAGACAACATTCATACCCTAAACAAAGCCTGTCCTTACCCTGCTGCTCCCCTTCAGCAAGGCAGCCAAGCACATCAGGCTTCTGCAGCAGCTGGAGRCGTGGGGCACAGCAGGAATCCCTCCCAGTATGTTTATATTACATATATGTGTTTATATTTCTCTTTGGATTCTTCTCTCCACGGGCCTGATTTGGTACCCAGGAGGACATGCCAGACTACTTTTTCTATGGATACTTTGCAAATGAATTCCTGGGGCAGTCAGGGCAGCACAGGGATTGAATAGAATCATATAATCATTGAGGGTGGAAAAGACCTCTAAGATCACCAGGTTCAATCATCAACTGTTACATTACACAACTTCAAAACCCTGGAAAACAGAGAGATCTCTACATGCAAATATCAGAGGGGGACTACTTCATGGGGWGGAATTGTTCACATCTATATTGTCTGTAGAAGCTAAAAGAAAACTGTTATTTACACAGCTTTTATATGTCAAAAGAAACACTTTGTGTGCCCAGGAGTGACTTGACGTGTATTGAATTTAAGCAGTTGAAGAATTGTCTCCCTGCAGTGATAAAAGGAATAAACAGAATTGACAGATCCATCTGTCCATTTGTAATTTCATTGAATATTGCACTGAGGACGCAGAGTTGTCGTGATTTCAGTGGATATTTGGATAAGCTCTTAATGTATGTCAGATGTGTAACTTGCATCTTAAATATTTCAACAGAGAATAACCAAATACTGATTTGAGTTTCAAGCTAATGAGTAAATGCTCCCCATACATCAGGCACATTCATGTGGCTGATTGCCAGAAGGTTACAGAAGCTGGTCTTAAGATGATTTCACCATTGAAGCATTCTTRTCCTGAATATGGCAGATGCACAAGATACTGGATCACATCAGATTTCTGTAATCTTTGCAAAAAGATTGTAGTAAAGTCAGTTATAGTTTTAGTATGTCAGGCTAACATGCTTTCAGTTTAAAAAATAAATTCTTAGAAATATAGGTATCTTAATATTTTATAGACASAGTTTATTTGYCCCTCTATTATATTTTYAAAAATCCATTCAYTATTACTCCAGTTCTRGCAAAAAAAMCCCAACCTGTTGATGTAGCATCACTTAATAGTCATGGCATATTTTAATGTTGGAACGTGGCTATGAAGAAGAAGAATATGATTACCCATGACAATTCCATTGTCACAAGTGGATATTTTTAATTTTGTGAATATTGAAGTAATACTTTATAATGGTCTAATACTAAGATATGAATGAAACTGCCAACTACCAAGAAAACATTGTAATGCGTSGCATAGAGGAAGAATACATTTTATGTGAAGACCTGTTTTCCACTTAAGCTGTGTCATATATCAGTAGAAAAAAAAGTCAAATGAAAGGAGTTCCAAAGATGTGCATTTGATCCCTGTTTTTTGTCACAGTGATGGAGTCAAGAGTGAGAGAGAACAAGGAAGGCAAAGCCTACAAATATTTCAAAATTAGCAGACCTATAAAATAATACGAAGTAGCTGGAATTGCTGTTTATCTTAAAGTTTCTTACACGATGAGAAGTTTTAAGGATTCTGCTTCAAAGTGTGATAAAAGGACTTTTTGTGCCTGTTGATGTAGAAAAATCTGATAATATGGCCTTGTAGGAGCACTGAAAAGTGCAGGAGAAAAACCACGGAATCC